TGAACATCACGAACATTGGCATAATGTTTATCCACCTGGTGCACTCCCAGATCCTTTCAAAAAAAATGCAACCATTTCCAAAGATCGTCAAGGAGAATTGTTTTATTATATGCACAGACAAATGATCGCTAGGTTGTTTATTTTTATTTTATTTTTATTTTATTTTTAATTGAATGATAATTATAATTTTTTGTAATAAATAATTAATTCTGTATATATATGTGTAAATTATCAGATACGACGCAGAACGTATTGGATTAGGTTTAGAACCTATTAAACCATTTAGCAACTATCGGGAACCAATCCCCGAAGGTTATAATCCAGATGTTCATGTAGTTGGAAAAACTAACCCTGAAGATGGTCCTGTTACCCAATTTGCATTTTCGGCACGTCCTGCTGGGGCGGTTCCAAAAGATCTTAGTAAGCCAAAATAATGAATTGTATAATTAATAATAGACCAATGTACTAGTTTATATTTATATATATATTAATAACTTATATTTTAACAATTTTATATTAGCTGGTAAAGATCCACTTAAAATTTCTGATTTAGAAGAAGCAAGAGCAAATATTACAAAAGCTATTCAGCAAGGTAAATTTGATAATGGTAAACCAATTACAGCTGATTTGTTGGGTAATGTGATTCAATCTACAACAATTGAATTGAAGGAATATAGAAAATATGGAGATTTACATAATAATGGTCATTTCCTATTGTCTTATGTTCATAATCCCAATGCTGATGGTATGTATAATTATATTTTATATAATTGTGGTAGTTATAATATTATTTATCATCATCATAATTAATCATGATAATCCTAATATTTATAATTTTTTTTAAAAAGATAAAAAAAATAACCCAGGAATTCTTATAGAACCAAGGTCTGCAGTTCGTGATCCATTATTTTTCAGATGGCACAAACATATTGATGAATTCTTTGTATCATGGCAAAAAACACTTCCTCCGCACGATTTCAAAGATTCACCACCTGTTAAAATCCAACAAAATGGGTTCATACTTGCATTCAAAGATAAAATTCCTGGAATTAAGGGTTTAGGTGATGTTGAACAAGATAAATTGGCTAGTAAATGGGGTGAGGAGCATTTTGGTGGAGCTAATTACATCAAAGATCCTGATGATGGAGATGAAGCAGAATTGGACAAATTGGATGTTATTGATGAAGAGTGGGGTGATGATGATGGTGGTGGTTGGGATGATGAAGAAGATATAAAAGAAGAGATTAAAATAAATCAAAGATTAAAAATTAGATTTAGTGTGGAAAGGATAATAATTTATTGGAAAAGACAAAACATGGTCCATATATGAAGAAGAATATCTTATTGATTCTTTGAAAAGATTAATTGAAAGGTTTAACAATACCCAAGGTAATATAATATAGTGCATGATAATATTATCATCATCGTCGTATTAACTTTTAATTAATCAAATCGCATATTATTTTATAGTTGAAATATCAAATTTATCAAATTGTCTTTTAACGTTTGGATATATTAAACATCTACAACAAATTCAAAATTTATTTGGCGATCTAGAAGAAAAAATTCAAAATAATATAAATGAAATATTTGTTCATCATCCTAATCTTACTAATAATATTAATATTAATAATAATATTAATTCATCAAATAATTTAGAGGTATTCAACCTGATATAATTATTTTTCAAATATATATATTTTTTAATACTAAAATCACCTTCTTTCTCCTATTATTATAGACTAATTTAGAAAAAAATCCAATTGAACCAAAGATCAATATTGAAAAACCGAAACTTGAAAAAATAGATTGGAGATTAAAGATTATTTAAAAAAAATTATTATTTTTTTGTTTCACATTTTATAATTATAAAATTAATAACATATGGTGCGTATCACCTATACTCATCAAAAAATGCCGATCAGTCCGAATTTTTGAATGTATATCTTAATCTTATTTGGTCAAAAAAATTAAAGAAATTCTAATTTTGTTCAATCCTTCTATTACTCCATCTGGTATTCTCCTATGGGATTTATATTTTTGACAGCATATACTGCCAATTTAACATTAATTCCTTTTCTGTATAGTGCCAGCACTTTCTTGAAAATCTTCTAAT